TATCTATAGTATTCAAAAGACAGGCTTTTTTGGCATGGGCGCTGATTTACAAACACAAATTCACACTGGTTTAACAGCTGTATTATACTTGTGAGTCAGTTATTAAATAAAGAAGCACTACTATATGACTACTCAGATAGTTGCACACTTTTTGCATTTCTCTGTTACTCAGAGACTATTTGGATTAAACCAACCAATCTTTTTTATTTTAAACTTACATCTGTTTGCTGATTACACATACCATTTAAATATAATTACATATATAAATTCAAAACAACATGGTTTCAATCTCAGCAGCAACATGTTATTGGAATAATTTTGTCAGTAATAAGGAAAATGTCTTTACCACAAGAATTCCTTCTTACAAATACACACGCATGTACACACACACACACACTCACACAGTGTATGTGTGTGTTTACCCTCACTGGTCACTGCTGTGTTGAGAGGGTGCCATTTAAATAGATGAGCAGTAGACCCTAAGAGGCCACATCACCAGTTTGAAGGATTTAATCACAGTTTCCTGTAAGAGAGACAGATGTGGACATCTGCCGGCTCGTTGGTCTAGGGGTATGATTCTCGCTTAGGGTGCGAGAGGTCCCGGGTTCTAATCCCGGTCGAGCCCTGCTTTTAACCCATGAGGATTACAGAAATCTAAGCAAGTACTGTGCAGTTAATTCGGGAGAGAAATGGAAAACAAAATGCTGCAGTCTATGGGTTTAAAATTCAACAAAATGTGTTCATCCTGTTAGTATAAATGAACACAGACAGAAAACATGACAGTGATGATGAGCAGAATTTAAAAAAAACCCAGGGAGTGGAAAAGAGAGTATGACTAATCCAAGTATACAAAGGATGCTAAGAAAGAGATGAGAGTTTTTCTATTTACCTGCCTTTATGTCTGTTTCAAATGGATCTCATGAATGATCTGGTTTCGTCTGTACTGGACCACCATGAGACGATGTCCCATCAGTTTGTGCAGACAGCAAATAACTGACAAAAAATAAACAACTATAATTATCAAGTGAATGTGACTGATGTGTTGCATAAAGTCACAAGTTGCATATGTGGATGTCTCATCTGGCTCATCAGCAGTCCGATCTCACACTTACACCTACATGTCATAAACATTCTGATCAAATCTTACTATACTGATATTGCCCATATGTTCTGTAAGTAGCAGTACTGAGGTAGTTATTTTGTTGCAGCAGGGAATTCCTTTCTCTACTCTCTATTACTTTCTTGCTACTTTCTCTTACCTGTTGCTTTCTGGTTATAGTAATTATACTACTGATCACTTTGGAGTTGGTAAGGTCACCACCTCAAGTGTATTTGCATACTGTATTTCAGATTTTGGGAAAAGAGTGTAAATAGAGCTGAAAAGATTAATTAATCAGTCAATAACATTTTGTAAGTAATTTTTAACATACATACACATACAAAAGCCTGTCTCAAGAAAGTACAGTTAGGATGATACAACAGGCTGATATGCGTGATGCCATTGTTTTGTGAAAAGGTTTAATGTAACTGCATGAAATCCTTGAGTGTTTGACCATGTGTTTTGAATGTGATGCCAACTGCTTCTTGTGAAATGTTGGTTCTACACTGTAGATTCAATATTTGATACCTCTTAACCTCACCAATATTTATTTTTATCTCAATAATTACCAACAGAACATAAAAAATGTAAAAGAGGCTTAGGTAACTAATAAAGTTCTACTCCATATTTTATCCATATATTTATATTCCTGCACTAAAAAATGGGGTTGTTGGTACTTCATTTGTATCTTTGAGCTTCACTGTACAGAAAAATATCTGACAATAAAAACCCTTTGTTTCTTTGTGTTCAACTTAAATCTCAGTTTAACGTATGGACATATAAGAGCACGATTTTGGGGCATCACAGCTAGTTTGGAAGCCATTCATGGTCCAAGACAAATTTTACAAAAAGGAATGAGAAGCATGGAAGTCAACTGCAGTGTGTTTTGTTCAAAACACTAACACAATTATATCTAATGTGATGTCAGATTTTAATCCAGTATCTAGTGAGATTAACGGAGAGAGAATAGGAAACATGCAAAACATTTGTCCAGCACAATATAATACAATCAAAACTAATACCATAGAAATACATTTTCTGTAGCTACTTTGCTAACAAATCCAGGGACTAAGTGGGTGAAAAAGACAATTCAAAGGTAGTGTGCAGATTCTGTAAATGTGAAATACGTGAAGTTCATGCTGGTCTTGTTCAGCCTGCCAGCACTGATAAACACAAAAGAAATGCAGCACCGTTTCGTCAATGACGCCTACAGACATTGGATTCATGGTCTCAAAGCAAAACGAGACAAGACAGAGCAGTGAGCTGAAGGTAGTGACCTACATAGCCTGTCACGATCCATTAGTTCTGTTAACCATCTCAGTGAATTAATTGGATCTACTTGTGATAAAGATATCAAAATGCACTGGACCAAATGCACAGCGTTAATCAACCATACAATTGCTCCATGCACGTTCAGAGAATTACAGAGGGATATTGAACATGCCCAGTACTTCCTTTAGACTGACAGTAGCACTGATATTATATCTGTCAAGCAAATGTGTGTGGTAATCTGCTACTTCATAATGACACTGAACAAAACTGTGTTCATCTTTTTGGGATTGATTAGCTCGGACGGTTAAACAGCAGATGCTGTTGCACACATTGCTCTTCACCACTGTCAGTATGCAAAGATCTGCAGCCTCATCAATCCTGGTGAAATCTCTTTGATGCTTGTGCAGATACATAGTGGCTCTCCATCCATGACTGCTATTTGCATATACTCAATCATAGGAGATGAACTGAAGCTTCACTATCAGCTAACCAAAGACCACCAAAGATGTTATGTTATGAATCCTGCACCAGATGTACAGTGATCCTGTCAACAAACTGTACCCGCTGTTTATAATTCTATTTCTACAAGAATTCAACAGGCTCAACACGCTGTTCCAGTGGACCACAGTGTTATTACCTGTGGGTGCCATTAATTATGGGGTCACCTTCATGATGGCTCTGGAGGAGGCAAGAAGGGAGAGCCTGGCAGAGAATAACATGAAGAGCAGGTGCAGTGACTTGTTGATGTAAGTGCAACAGATACCGCCCACTAACATCCAGGTATGGAAATCTATGACTGAGATCCACTGCTCACATCAGTCTCAATGCTGAAGCTCAAACAAGGAGGACAGTTAGGCAGAGGTGATTTGGGTTGCCGTGCTCCATTACAAAGACAGCGATGGAGACCAGACCTTCAAAGAACTTGCCCTCTTTGCTCTGTTGTTGATTGCAATGCTTCTGAGCAATGCTGACATAGAACAAGTGTTCTCCCAGATGGGCCTGGTGCATCAGAGAGCTGAGAGACAGATGAAGACAGTGAAGATGAATTTTAATTCAGGTAAGTGCTGTTTCAGTGTCTTTATTATTAGTGATTAGTAAGAAAACAAGGCTAAATGTTATTGTTTAAGTTGACATCTACATTTACTCATTTGACGGTTTTATCCAAAGCAACTTCACAGTTTAGCAAGTTTAAGGTGAAGACATGTTTTAAGAATAGGATGAGGTTATGTTTAGGTTAAGGTTAGGGTAAGGGTTAAATTTAGGCAATAATAGTTGACGTTAAAGTAAGTCTCCAGGAAATGAATGTAGGTCAATCTTGTGTCATCTTAAATCATGGATACACAACCGTGTGTGTGTGTGTGTGTGTGTATGTGTGTGTGTGTTACAGAGGAACAGAGCTGATAATAAGACAAGGAGTAAGACAAGATCAAGCCAGGGGATGCTCCAGTGTTCCTCCAGACACGTGCACTTTGAGTGATGAAGACAGTGAAGATGGATTTTAATTAAGGTTTGTGCTGTTACTGTGCTTTTTTTCTTGCCAATTTATTTTATGCAACTTCTTGACTTTCATTTACATTAATTCATTTTTACATTTCTCATTTTTTTGTTGGCCAGTTGGCTTTGTTTCACTTTAGCATAATATAGAATACTTTGTATTTGCTGTCCATGTCCATTTTTGAGTAAGTATAAATGTTGGCAAAAACAGAAGAATAAGGAGGATGTATGGTGTATTATGAATACAGTTGTGTGTGTTAGCCATCACAGTCTAGTCTAATCTAAATTATTAATCCAACATTGTTATCTAAATTATTTCTAATCCTCCACCATTCCATTGCACCATGGTGTTACTGTATGATGACAATACTTTACATTTAGTACATTTAGCTCATGTTACTTTTGAGTAACATTTTGAATGCAAGACAATGTTTTGAGGTTTTTTTCATTTCATTTAATTTCATTATTACCACTTTTACGTAATACTTCCTCAGTCAGGGAGGGAAGAGGGGTGGAAATGATTCAGATAATGTACTTAACCATCTACTGACTATTTTCCTTACACACAGTGCATATAAAAAACAAACAAGCACTTTGGACATCATATTAGGCACATGTTATAGCTCTACTTAAGATCATGTCATTTTAAATCATCTAGTTTGTGTACTGAGTTTGTTTAGCAGGATGTGGAGTATGTTCAACAACACAGAAAGTTGCATACAACTTAGATTTGGGATAAACTCTAGAGTTTGACTATTCTCATGTAATATGAGTCCAGAGGCTTAGATCCATTAATGTTATTGTATTATTAGATCTCACCTCCAGGATACTAACATATTTTTCCAGCAGATGGCGATATAAGCATTGGTTTATAAAACTGACTTGGTAACAATAAGATTTGTGAAATGCAATATGTGACTTATTAAAAATGTGAATGCTATAACTCTTCTATAAGATAATTTGTCTTTTGTGCAGAGATAAGATGTGCTTGGTATACGTTTGACTTCCTGGCAACCACCTTGTGTAAGGATATAATATCACTACCTCCTGTCCAAAGGTTACCTTACTTTTTCTGATGTTAAACACCTGAACTTAAAGTAACAGGTTTATCTCTATTCATACATAACACAATATGTTGTCTGGAAAGCACCTTTATTTGTGTTGTTCATAAGACTTTGTTAACCGAGTAAATGAAAACTAAAACAAATATTTGCTTTCTATTCTTTTCTCTTGAACACCTGAAGACAAACTACATCTTCACATGTCAGCTCCTGTCAGTAGAGAAGAAAATGAATCTGTTAATATTATGTTGCATACTTAGTAAAATGGGCATTAAAAGTGTCAACACTGTCATTATTGTAACATACAGAGCAATCATTTTCTGCTGTACAATACATCCCACTAATTCAAAACATTTCTTTTTAATCAGTTATCCCATGTTCTAGTTCAAATCTTTCACAAAAGTCGAGTTACTGTCAACCCACCAGGTAGAGTTTGTCTCCTTCGATCCAGTGTTTCCAGCCACGGTTGGCCTTCTCTCCTTTCTGGGTGCACACCAGCTTGTCCCCCTCCCAGGTCACCAGACTCTAGACAAAATGTAATGCATTCAGCAAACAATCTGACTTATTGTGAGAAGAAATTTCCCCTACAAGCGTGCCTGTGGCTAGAACTGCATGCTCTGACCTCTTACATGAATCTATTTTCTCCTCTCATTTCCCATTTTCCTGATAATGAAAGAGGAATAGCTCAAAATGCCTGTAGACATCTGATCACCCACCGGCAAGTCAGTTTGTGCAGCAAGTGCTCTAATTTGGAAATATAATTCAGCTTTAGATGTAAACAAGATATACTGGCCTCCTTTTCCCCTGGATTTTGAAATGACTTCCTTTCATTGGCATCTAATGTAACCACACATCAACGCTGTTAAATTTTGTATCACCATCACATTTACAACCGATGTTACACATACACCACAGATGAAATCACTGTATGGACACACTTAGATAACACAGTTGTCATTATTACATAGGCAACAAGGAAAATGGGAAATATCGCCTTATCAGATAAACTATCACTGACTCTTGTCGCTTCAAGGACTCCATACATGAGGTCAACCCACCTTGATGTTTCGGTTGTCTAGTCCCTTGGTGTACTCATCGAACTCCACTCCTACAGTGAAGCCCAGCTCATAATTCCTGAAGGTGCTCAGTGTTTTGAAGTCAAACTTGTCTCCATCCTGGACAACCACTTTGGTCTGAGACAGGGAGATGGCGATTTTCCTTGTAGCAAAGTCAATATCTTGGCACAGAATAGAGAGACTTAAGTGCATAAATGATATTTTATTATATTTTAAAAAGAACTTAAGTATTACTTATATAGTATTAAGTATACGTAATGTTCTTCTGGGAACTGCAGTTATGTTTATAATCAAAAAATAATGTAGTTGACTAAGCCTGATTCTTCAATGTGAATAATTCTAGGAATTCCAATTATAGTGGTACTCAACAAGAATCTGTAGTGAAATCACTGCAAAAATAGTTTTTCATGAAGTCCAAGATCGATCAGAACATAACACACAACATGATTTAGTTGCTTCTCCAACCTGTCACATCACCCGAGTAACACTACTACTCCTACCACGTAACCAAAACATCACAGCCCTGAATTAAACATATTAAAATTAAAAATTTCTTACTTAATACTTTCAAATATTCCTCAAATTTGTCATTGGTTTCCAGTATCCATTTGCCACTGAAGTCTGCAGGCATGGTGGCAGCTGCTTGACACTGTTGTGTGTAGACTTTAGACAGTGAGTGGAGGGGGAAGGTGCAGGTTCTCCCCCTGCTTTTATTCTAGTCAGGGGCATGAGGGCAGAGAACTATTGATAAGTGAGTTTATAGCTCAAATGGGATTGGCAGGGGCAGTTCTTTTGGAGGGGGAGGATCCACCCTTTTCTTTCTGTCTTAACACGCTCTTTGGGGGAGGTTACTCCCCACCCACACACAAACATGCACTGAACACCATCCTTTCTCTCCCTTGTACCTTTACCCATTACACATGCAGACAGTACTGTGGTGGTTAGTGTTCAATGTACAGACAGAATAACATCTGCCAACAGTGAGTCTTTATTTGATCTTTTTCTGTGGCAAACTAGAATTGAACTTTGAGCACAAAGGTTAATAAAGTTCAGTCTCGCAGTGAAAAAAAAAATCAGCATTTGTGATTAATTTTTAAATGAAAATTAAAGGTTGAGTACTTTTTTTTTTTTTAAAGGGTAAATTATATATATATTTTAATATAGCCTATATAAATACTCTTTTTTTTATTATAATTTGTCAGGTTAATTCTTTGAATTACATCTGCTCTTTATCCCTAATTGAAAAATCCAGAATCCAGAAAAGTTCAAGTGATAATTCTTAAGATTTTCATCATGTCAAATCCAATTTTAATGATATTTATGGAAGGCATTTATTCTGCTATACTAATTAAATTTGTTAGTGGTATGCATTATCAGTGGTGGAGTCCAGCTAAATGGCACACACATGCAACAACGGATTCACAGGAAACAAATGCAGCTGCTCTGAGCATTTCAAACCTTTAGTGGTCGATAAATAAATAATTTCAAATGGAACTTGTAAATTGTCTTTTTGTCACCACCAGTAACCAAAGGTGTTGCCGAATCAAACTACTACTGGACACAAGATGTCACCGAAAGTGTATGTGGACTGAGCATCTTCTCCTGCACTGAGCTGTTCGTCTGTCGATCAAAATGAGCATCGAGCAGCACACTTTCAGCCAGACAACCCACAAATTCAGCAGAAATGTTTTATTGAGAAAAAATGTAAATGTAGATTTTACTCTGGCATCAGACTCTGTTTGGAACCCTCCCTGACAGCATAATTTTTTGAACCAGCCAAAGGAAGAGCAGGGAGAGATCAATAACAACCCCCTGGGGAACTATAAATAAACAGAGGCCGCAGGTAGAAGCCGGCGTGGTGGTGGGTAGTGAATGCACAAGAAGCAGCAGGAGGCAAAACAGCAGGGTGAGCAGCAGCAGCAGCAGCAGCAGCAGCAGCAATGAATGAGCAAGTGAGTTGGACCGCTTATATAGACTGCAATGGCAATGCACAAAGTGAGCTGACAGATTAACTGATTCAGAGCACAGCGTGACTCGAGTTGTCTGGTTGAAGCTCCGCAGGCTTCACTTCTTCACTTTTGAAATTCCTAAGTAGAGGCCCTCAGATTCCTCATGCATGTCTTGAAAGGCATTTTCAGATAAAAAGGAGCCAAACTTCAGTAAATAAGAACGGTTCATTTCAGGGGGTTGTGTGGTTGTATTACAGGAGGTGGACCTGCCAACCAAAACAATTTCTTTTTCAACAAGTCTAAAGATTTAATACAAGGTTTAACTACTCAGAAAGACACAAATGACATTGTTGAGCACTGTTTCATTTATTGATTGATGATTCCTTTTACTATCAATTGCGCAGTCCCAAAGGATTTGGGAAGTATATATATATACACACACATCATATCTGAAATCCAATGTCAAGACTGAGCATCAGTTGCCAAGAAGCTCGCAGTCCTTAACAAAACTCATATCGTCGTTTTCCAGTCACAACAATCATTCAGAGAACTAAAAAGGGATTAACCCTTTGAAGGTGTTATATAACTGTTCTCTTCACTGCGTCCATAACTTTTCCACCGGTCACTTCAGTGTGTTGAGTTATCAGTCTGGCTCACCCATCAGATCAGCTACACCTAGCAGTATGCATGCATCCAACACATCTAAACATGTTAATCAAAGGAGCACCCACCCTGAGACAGATATGCCGGACTGCATTTTGTGATGTTACATGATACACACACTAACCTGCCCTTACTGTACTGTGTAGGAATTGGCTTTGGCAGAGTAAAGCAACAGCTTTGATGAAATATAAATGTATCTCTAGCCCCCCCCCCAAAAAAAAAGGAAAAAAAAAAAGGAAAAAAAAAAAAAAGCATTTGAAACAAAGTGATATGAAATTGGTAGATGGATATATGGAGAGATGTAGAAATGGCTTGTTTTGGAGTTGGATGGTATGTCAGAGGCAGGGGATGTGTCTTCTATGTCTCTGTGAGCCAATGTCAGCCGGGGGCACTGCCTCGTACAGTAAGAGCCAGTTTAGGTCTTCTTGAAGACCTGCTTGCTAACTGCTCCTGCAGCTCTCAGCTCCTGTAGAGAACAAAAGAAAATGTAAAGTTTTTGATTTCATTTTAAAGAATTCAGAATGTTATTTTGGCAAACGGGAATGACCACAGTACAGTATATATTTTTGAAGCAATGGGTTATTTATCGATTCAGAGTGGGATTTCTGGCTGCTTCTGAGCTCCCCCTGCAAACAAAAAGGACTTACAGACATATAAATAGTCGGCCCAGGTATGGTACAGAATGAAGGTGTCCCAGCATGTTTTAATTAATTGAAAGCTCTTTTCCCTCCATGAGACAACCTGATGTCTTTGACCAAAAGTTGACATAGCAACAATAACTAAAGGCTTGGATGAGGATGATTATCAGTAAAGTATGCATCAAAAACATCCATTTCCACATTTTGTCACTGACCTGTGTAAAGCATGTATCTCCAAAATATACCTAACCACCTAACCTTTTCATGAGCTATGAAAAACCCTGAGTTCAGCGTTCAGAGTTCTTTAGTTTTCTAGTATAATGACATGTTTCCACCTTGCAAAATATTTTCTGCCACCAGAGGCCACTGTTGACCTACATTCAAACCCTCTTCCGGCTCTTGGGAACTTTTCACTAATAACTAATTTCATGGCGGCTGATTGAAAACATCTGTTGGCACCACTTAAACCAAATAATTTGCCTGATTATTTTTGCTTAGCTTTGATAGCAGTAATCATACAGAGGGAAATCTGATAATGCTGAACTAATGAAAATGGTAATGTGCTAGTCATTACTTTAAAGTCTTTTCAGATGCTAATGCTTTCATTACAGGCCACACTGGGGCCACACTATGAATTTCACAGAGGAGTCATTTGAGAAAAAAAACTTCTTAAGTCCTTCTAACAGAAATTACATTTGCAAAGTCAAGATAGTAACGCGTTAGAGGTTGATGTTCATGTCTGCTCGATTACTGGAGATCTGAGGTCATGAAGAAATGAGATGAAAAATTTGTTACAGGAACTGGACCGTTTCGCATTTCCTTTTTAATCTAGCATTATTTTGCATCTTTGTCTTTGACATTTGAAACTCAAAATGTATGAATCTGTATTATTTCCCCTTGAAACAGCATCCTCAGAGATAGTTTCTTATGTGGAAACATGATGTATTTGGCAGTAAATGAGTTATAACCACATACTTGTAACTTTGATAAACTACTTTTCCTGTGTGCATGCACCTCACACAGAATAATGTTATTACTGCTGGAGCTGGTGGGCTAATTCATACCAGAGTCGCACATAAAAATATATGCACAGCACATACAGTGCTGAGAGGCATTTTGGATTTGGATTGAAGTGTCCAAACTGCATGTATTAATATTCATGGGAGGAACTGATGTTTTCTTACCAAATGAAGCTCATCTCCTTCCACCCAGTGGGTCCAGCCTCTTCCTTCAATCTCTCCCTTCTGCACACACACCAGCTTGTCGCCTTCCCAAGTGATAGTGGTCTGTATTAGGGTCATGGGTCAGGGGGAGACACAGGTGTGATTATAATGCACGATGCATCAGTGGTGGATTCATTCAGATGTAGATGCATGTTTCCTCTCATAAACATATAGATTTAAACATATACAATATACTGAGTGAGAGGCTCAGTCCTCCTCCATCCCTCTTAAAATAATTACTCAGATAAAATCACCACACAGAAACATGTGACCTTCTCTCTTTGCCACCCTCCAAACAGCTTATAGCTTATCTATAATCAGCCTATCAGCATACAAAAAAGATTTTTCAAGGGGGACCACAGATAATCTTTGAGCCTATTCAGTATTCATTGACACAATCTGATCAAATAAATGTGAACCTTGACTTATTTCTCTGCCTCCTCCACTTCTTTTCCTGCAGGTATCTAACATCATTTCACTGGCAAGGGTCTGAAAAGTTCAGGAAAGTTTTACAGGCAGGTGGAAAGTTTTGTATGGCTACCATATGCTCATTATAGTCTAGAGAGGTGCCACCAAGAAAAGTCACTTTATACACCTCCAGGTTTTGCACCCACAGCAGATGGGTTCATGTCACAGGTCGCCACATCTGCAGCAATGTAATTTAACTTTAATATCAAACCAGTGGCTCAACAGGTTTGCCATAAATTAAGAACATCATGTAGACATTCATTAAAATGTATCAAATCCCCTCTGAATACACTGGTCCAAACACTCACCATGCATTTCCGGTCGTCCACTCCGGAGAGATCCTCCTCGAACTCTTTGCCTACATAGAAGTCCATGTTGTAGTTTTTGAAGGTGCTGAGGGTTTTGATGATTATGTGGTCCCCGTCGTGGACGATGTCCTTGTCAGGCTTCAACAAGGTTGCAATTTTCCTGATGGCAACATTTACATCTGCGACAGGTCCCCAAGCAAGGTGGAAAAATGAATGAGAAACAGGAGAGGGGCATTTCAGTGCAGTTGCAGAACTTCAGAATAATATGCAGAGTTTTAAAAAGCTGCCTCAGTTAGAAGAAGTTGCTTATGTTAAGAAGAACATTTGTGTTAAGATAAAAAAAAAAAAAAAAAAACAGCCTACTATTCCTGTTAATGGTTACAGCTATTCCATTAAAAAATGGAAAGAATTTGATATCACAGCAAATTTGCACTTACTTTATTTTACAATAATATGAGATATCAGACAAAATGCCTGTAATCTCACTCTACCAGAGGTGAAATATTAAGTCTCTTTAGGATCTTTTACATAGTTATTGAATATTGTGACTGACATTTACATCTAGATCAATTTATATTCTAATCCAGGAATGATGTGAGGCTTGTTCCTATGGCACTAAAAGGCCAGTCTTTCGCTTACTTCTCTGACGTTCTTAACAAACTCACCGAGAGCCTTCAGGTACTCCTCGAAGTTATCATTGGAAATCATTTTCCAATATCCGTTCAGATCAACAGGCATGTTGGCTGTGTCTCTGCTGGTTTCTTTAGTTTCAGTCAATGAGGAGGTCCGCTGAGGACGGCTACTGGCGTTGGAATGCAGAACCTGCTGTCAAAAGCCTCAATTTGAACCAAATTCACTTTAATCCGATTACCTGTCCCTGGCACCTCCCACTCCCCTCCCACAATCGACACCATGTAACCCCACAATCCTCACCATGCTCTCCCTGCATGGATGGCAAAATGCGGCATGCATACATAATATAGAATACACTTGTGTGCTTTATGTTGGGGAATGCTTACTCTGCCTGTGTGGGATTAGAATAGAATGAATACACTTCCTGTATTAATTCACACAGACGCACTTGTGTGTAATTCCACGTGTGGCAGATTTGGCCTGGTTCTGTTGTATAAGATGACGCCTGTTTCAATCATGTTTAGGTCAGGATTATAGAGCTTTCAATCAGCCTAATGGAATAAAATCACACATCACATCACAGATCAATTAAATCATTGATCAGCCTGTCATTTGGCTGAATGGAGCTCACACTGTGGATAATATGCACTGTACAAAAGCAGAATCACCTCATCTTAAAATTATCCAACTGCAACAATTAAATGCAGCACAAAAGGTCTGCCACATCTTTTGTCTCGCCTAAATAACTCAATTAATTTGATAATCTCTCTTTTGGGCCAGCTGCAGCCAACCCACTGTCTCAATCCTTTACTGGCTGGAACACAGACAAAGACACACACATACACATCTTTCAAAGGATGCCAGTCAGTATCAGTGGCACAGTGGTGCTTTCAGCCATTGGCCTCAGTGAGAAAACACCTCCTGTAGCTGAGCAACTGTCAGGATTACTTTAAATCCTTTGGTGGAAAAAAATACCGGCCTGCAGACACACAGTGTGTGGATGATAATGGGGAAACTGAATAGATCCGCAGTGAATGGCTGTTGGGAGGCTGCTGCAGAGCACAGACACTCTCAATGATCTTCATATGAGAAGAAATTCAGAACAGGATAAAGTTTATACTTTACGATTAAAAAGTTACACATGGTGGCATCCTAGTAGCACAGTGGACAAAACGCACCACAAATACCACACCATAGAAAAACACACAGGCAGACAAAGGCAGACAAAAACGACTACATAGGTAAATAATGGATTATTTCTCCAACAGAATCAGAATTGTAGTCCTGGGAATGTGGCTTTCGAACAACATTTAGACCTCCATGTTGGAAAACAGAATTGACTGAAAATGTATCTGAATAGTTCTCTTTTTAAAAAAACATAAAATCTTAAATATCTTGAACTATATTTTATAACTGTTGCCCTTTATAATGTGATTTGTTTTCAGCATCTCTTCTTTTATGATGATGGTTTCCTACTGTCTTCTTTCTTATTAGATTTGTTTGTTCATATGATCCAGTTTTCTACTTCTTATTTTACTTTTACTCCATATATTTGAATGATGTCAGTGAACCAAAACCTTAGTAATGCGATTTAGTAAATTTTAAAACTTTGTAAGTGGGATTTATGTTGAGTTGTTAGGGGGACTTTGACTTATGACCTCGTTATTTCTAAAACCCTGACTCCAGCCCTGCCTGGCTTGGGATTTTATATATCTAAAACAGCTACAAGAGAAAAAAGATACCAGTCAGACAAAAATACTTCATATATGGATGATTTTAATTCAGTTAAGCCAACTGCAATGACGTGTAATGTGAAAAACTACAAAGAATAGAAAACTATTGGCAGACAAATGTTCAGTCTCACTATGGAACAAAGATGGGGCTCAGTATTTGCAAGACTTCATGCGTATGAGTCAAAAGACAGCACAGCACTGTGTAGATGCTTCCCACTGAAAACAAGTGAAGCTTGGAAAACACATTTAGGCCAAACGTGTTTCTTTGCAGACATTTGTAGGCTGTGCAAACCTCTTCTGCTCTGTAGACCATGCAAACAGAGCGAGAAGCACTGATCTGTGAGTGAATTCACTCTTCGAGGAATCCCCCGTTCAGCTCAATGCTGCAGCGGTCTGTCCATCAGTCATCCAGACTGTTCACTGGCTGTTGTGCTTGCTTGGTGAGTGGCCTCAGCACCGTGCCCTTATTTCTCCTCTCGCTGTCCTCTGTGTAAAGGTTGTGCTGGTGAATGTATTCTATCACAGAGTCTGGGATCAGGTATTTCACGCTCAGACCCCGTCTCAGAGCCCGCCGCACCTCTGTGGCGCTCGTGTCATTCCTCACCCATTCCCTCACCAGGAAAATGTTCTGTTGGTGGCGGGAGAGCGTGTCCGAATCGTGCACTGCCCTCTCGGGTTGCAGTCTGCCTCGACTGACGCAGACGAGGCCGAAGCGCCCTGCCACCTCCTCCACGTGCTCGTCCTGCCACAAGCCAGGGATCTTGAATGTGTCAAGGAAATCCGCTCCACACAGGAGCTTCAGCTGGGGAGGGGGGCCTGAGGGGAGAGGCACAACATGATACTGAAGAGAGGAGGAAGACTATTCGAAAAACACAGGCTACATTTAGAGGTTGTGTGAGGTTTGTCATTTTGAAGTGTTGATATGCAGTAAGGGGCCAGAGCTACTGCCTGATATGATATGATTTATTCAGAATATAAAACATGATCCATGATCCATGATTAATTCTACTTTGTAATAGTTTCATGCCTGTTGATATGAATAATCCTCATGAAAATAACAAAGAGCAAGCCTGAACTCAGACCCCTGAATCCTTTGTTTTTAGCCTCAAAGGGTGCTCACTCATCATTTCAGGGGGATTCCTTCTCTATCAGAATCAAAAGATTTTCTGATTGGACTGTTCACTACAATCATTGATACTTCAGTACCCATTCTGTGTTTTTATTCTGAGCAGTTATGATGAAGAGTGACAAAATCCTCAAGTGGTGCTCATTTTGAAAAGACCAAAATAATGCAGTTAGTGTTTGCCAACTGGCTGGTCCGTAATCAAGCTAAAAAATGTGAATCCAATAATACGTGACTGAAGTGTCCCCTCAAAGAGCACTGACATGAAGAGTCTTTGGTAGGCAAGCCTGGACCAGGCAAGTAAAATGTAAAACAGGACTGACACTGTCTTACTAGGTCTACAAAATACACAATTTTGATATTCATGGTGCTGGAGGCTAAAGCTAATCATAACAACACAAATGATACTTTACATAAAAACTCACACTGAACTGTGTGAACTTGCGTTTAGTAAACTTTGCAAAAAAATAGCAGGGAAAGCTTTTTTTTTCTTTTTTTGCTAGAATGTCAATCTTTGCAAACAAAATACATATTTTATTTGCTTTCTCTCTGATGAGATCTCAGGGCTATCCCTTCCCATAGTTCTATTTTTCATGAAATTTGTCATGTTTTTGCAGGGATGTGTAAAAAAGCAGCAGGGCCCAAACAGATATCCCTGTAAACAATTTTGATAAATCAAAGATAATCCATGAAAATGCTCCTGAATACTGACTGGACAGCTTCCAGTTATACATCTCGCACACTTACACAGACATACATACACGCACGCATGCACACGCACACAGTCTTAAAAAGTATTAAAGGTATTAACCACTGTTGGTCAGAGCCACAGAGCACCGTTAGGCTCCGTGTTAAGCACAGGCACATTATGTGGGATTGATGCAAATCCTTAACTCTAACTGTTAGAAGACGTGTGATAAAGTTAAATGCTGAAAAAAATGTTTTATCAAGCACTGTTTTGCACATAGGCAGAATATTGTTATTATACAGGCGCTCATGTCAGCCATGTTAGTGGGTGGATGCTGCATTAGCAATGCTAACGTCAGCATGCTAATATGCTCACAATGACAATGTTAACATGCTGCTGCATCGCAGGTACACTATTTACCATGTTCACCATCTAAGTTTAGCCGGCTAGCATTTTCTAATTAGTGCTAAACACAAAGTACAGCAGAGGCTGATGGGAACAAGTGTTTGATCTTAAACCAAAGTGTTGGCAAAGTTAAACTTTGACCTGCTAGTGCCGCTAGATGAAAAGTAAGGGGATCACCAAAGACACTATGATTTATATTCTGTGGAACATGGATGTCTGTACAATATGTCTGGTCCAAAGTGGTGGACCAACCGATGGGAGACTCAGTCGGTGCTACAGATTAAAATCAAACATACAATGTGTGAAAACAGTAAGTGTTAAAAGGGTTTCTGAACTGATCCCAAGTTCCCAACAATAAGAGGTTCTTACTTGAGAGGGGAGTGGCGTTACTGCTGGAGTTGGTGTGCATTCCTGTGCTCCTTTGCTCATACTCCTTTAGAATACGCTGATAATGATACCTGCCCAACAACCAAAGGTAAGAGAGAAAGAGAGACTGAGAATTTATTTCTTTCATTTTATACAGTAACACACGTATGGTATTTCATTCCATGTACAGTGTATCATTACTTTTATATGTATTCATTTATTTCACATTTTCTATTTATGCATGTGCTTAGGCAACATGTTTTTTCCAATATAACCAGGCCAATGAAGAATTATCAAGCTGAAGACAATAAGAAAGAGTCACAGAGGAACCTTTAAAAAGATGAATGAAAAACTTCACTGTTTTCAAGTAAAGCTGCTTAAAGTTGTTCTAGTACATTTGCATGTGTGTGTGTGTGTGTGTGTGTGTGTGTGTTTGGGAGTGAGATGACGTGTGACATGGCCTGGTCATAGCCTCGGGACAACAGGCCACTTCATGCCTTGATCTGTACCCGTGTTGCACAAACACAGCTTAGAGACAACCAAGTGAGGGGAGGGTCACTAACAAGGGGATTTGTGAGAAATGGGGAGCAGGGAAGAGGGAGAGTGAATGAAATGAGAGAAACACTTCTAAAATTAGCCCAAATGTAAATGTGTATCTATAAGCAAATGCAGCTTCCTGAGTTTAAATGTGCATACAGTGTGTGTGCGCGGTAATACAGTGTGAGGTACATTTTTATCATTAGATACTGATGAATTCCCTCAGGTCTACACCCTTGATAAGGCCTAGCTCCACAAACAGTATATTTCTGCACAGTAAAACTCTGCAATACAGAATGGGACAACCCCAAAAAACCCCTTATTCACTTCTTCTCATTATGAATGCGGCACCTCTGCCTGCCTCTCTTCACCCATATTCATGTCCCAGACAGCTTTTTGCAACTACACTGTTCCCACTTGGCCAATGAATTTAACAGCCCGTGCCTGTGATTTCACCTCATGAAAAATCCAGACCTGCTGCAGGTCCGGTCTAGTCTGGCAGCCCTCAAGAGACTATAAACTGCAATTTAGGCTCAGGGAGCCTGGCAAACACTCTGTTACATAAACAGCTGAAGTTGGCATCAAGAGCGGCTGACAGAGGAGCAGCAAAGGAGTGTACATCAACGTGAACTCTGCTGGTGCTGTGGTAAAACTAGGACATGGCAGAAAAGACAAAATATTTATCTTACAGCTTGTCAAGTATGAAGAAGGATGTAACAAGACACAGTGAAAGCAAATGGAGATATAAAGGAGCTACTGAGTAATAGTGTTGGTGGATATAAACTTGAACTGAATGCGCTCGACTCTGTCAGATTGTAAAGATCTTCCATGTCATGACATGCTACAAAACAATGGCATGGTTTTTGACACAGTAATTTAAGGTTCAGCTACTGTTGAAACCGTGGAGTAATCAGCGCAAATAGCTCAATTCATAAAAAAAAAGAAGAAAAAAAAAGAGATGAAGAAACGGGAAACCGGTTGATATTAGTATCCCAATAGCTTGAGTAAATGTAGTCTCACAGTATCTGCTCACCCAAAGTAATGGCATTTTGTCTGTACTCTATAAAGAGGACATTTTTGTGGCGACATTAACCACTGAAGTGCTCTGAATTATGCAGTGAATGGAAATTGAATTTCTGACTGCAGTTATTATAAGCTACTTGTGCAATAGTGGCTGTTATAATGAGTGAGGTGCTTTAACAACAGGTGACAGTGAAGAAAAGGCAAAGGCTGGCCTACTTTGACCCTGGAAAACCTTCCTCTCTAAATGCAACAATTTCAACTTGAATGCAACAATAAACATATTTTATACCTCATAGTGACCACTGTCTCCGTCCAGTCTGGCTGCTGGCTCTCCCATTCATCAACCGTGACCCAGTTGGAGCTCTTCAGTGCCAGCTTTGCCATAGCAATGCGGTGCTTAGCCAGTACCAGGCCTTGCTTTCCATAGCCGTCGCTCACTGGAGACACGATGCCACCCACCACCTGGTACTGGCCTGAAGGGAGAGAAGATTAATATAGTTTTTCTGGGTCACGACAGCCGATACAGAAATGGAATATAAATCAGCAGATGAAGTAATCTCTAAAACATACTGATGTTAATATTTTTGGTGCTTTGTTAGATTTTCACATTTGAGGACAGAGGCTGCGACTGATCATTTTAAAATGAGGTGATGAAGCTGCCCGATTATGACTTTAATTATCAAACTTTATCATTATTTATAGCTTATATTGTGCACTCGATTTTAAGGGTTTGGAAACTGCTTTAAACAATGAGTTAGACTCAAAGTTTGAAAATTAAAATCTTGATAGTGCAATACACATGCCAAAGCAAATTGTTCTCATTTAAGTGTTTTAAAAAAAATGTGTATTGATGTATCTGCAAATGTGGCACAACATTCAACAGGAGGAGAATGAAAACAGCTCCTGTATGCAGCTTACAGTCATCTCTGATGGTTACCCTAAAACAGGTCAGCTGATGTCTTATAGGTAAGGGGTCAAAGGGAACCTGTAAGAGCATTATTTATGTTCCTGCTCACTGCAATGCTGCATAGACTCATAAAGCATCTTAGAGTAAGAGAGCTGACTCAGGACCAGTATAATTCTTAAGATATAATGAAGTCGTTATGACCATGTGACCAGGTCAGTATGCTTGTTCAGAGCAGCTTCAGGATGTAAATAGTCCTGGGTTTATGTAAGGAGACTGTGTCTGCTGACACGGGTGTTACATTGGACCGTGTGGCGGCACATGTGAGGACACCAAGCCTTGAGTGACTGAACTTTTTATTCATACAACAAGAGAACAACAAGGAGGAGATTTGAGGTCGCTGCAGCATCAGAAAGTTTGCATATGGTTGTCATTGTATGTATTTTTGTAAATGTAAGTATAAAATAAAAGTTTTCTTTTTATGTGATGCTTCTTTGTAATTATAATACAGGGAATAGACAAGAATGTAGAGTCATTAAAGCTAAATTAAATAATAATTTGGCCACTAGGGGGCAGAACATTTCCACAACAAGCTGAAAAACAAAGCTCTGTTATTGTCTAACATGTTAGTAAATAGCCTACTTTCACATCAGGTAGACATAAAACAATGTTAGCATTCATTTCAAGCTGAAAGAAGTCATTTCAAGTCCAATATTAACCACATCTATTAACTTTGATTGGTTTGCAAAAGTTCCTGAGACAAATATGTGCATCTTTTACGGGAGCTGCTCTGACCCTGAGGGTTACAGACAGATGACAAATTAAAGGAAAAGATAGGACAAATGGCTGGAGAAACGTAATGAATGCTAATTGCAGTACAATTAAGCAGTGAACATCCCGTCATTCTCTGTGGCATCATGTACAAAAATGATGAGAAGGCCCAGTTCATTCTGATTTTTTACCAAGATGACAAGAGGAAAAGATCTGAGGTGCCTTTGAAGGAGGGTTCATTGTTGGGGCATGGATGGCAGGAGCTTCAGTCACAAAGACTGCTCAACTAGCTGGTGTTTCCATAGGAACAGAGAATAAAGTGACACCTGCATTTAGATCTATGGAAAAGACGTCAGTAAATAGGGTCAGAAACAGTGCGCCTTTGATAACCATGATGCTTGCCTGACCCCTAAAGTAAGGGGATCCCGTGTCTCCGTTATGCTGTGCTCCTGATGGGAGTGGTCTCTTCCAGTATGACAGTGCCCCCATCTATTGGGCATGAGGGGTCACCATCAAAACACTAAATGAGGGAATATCTTCTGAAAGAACGGTGTTCATCCCTCCTGTAGTGTTCACAGACTTGTGGAATCAATGCCAAGGTGCATTGAAGATGTTCTGGCAGCACATGGTGGCCCCAATATCTTAATAAGACACTTTATGTTGATTTTTCTTTTAATTTGTCACCCGTCTATATCTAGACAATAAAATTAAACACACAAAGAGCCAGCTTTTCAAAATGATAATGTTTGTTCTTAAGTATATCATCTTTTTATTTATCCTTAATCCTAAATTCACACAGTGTTTGCGATGTCCGGATCTGACCTGTGCTGTGCAAGTGGTCTCTGGCCAGCTCAAACAGCCTCATGTGCTGGTTAGTGATGGGATTAAAGGAGCCGCAGGCTAACAAAACTAGTGGAACACAGCGGTTGGCCATTTTGGTTTATCCTCTCACACCATGGTCAAAGAACCTTGGAGGAAAGCAGAAGGAAGAGTTATTAACATTGTGGGAATCGTACAATGGGACACAAAGGTGACAGAACTGAGGGAAGACAGCAAGTAGAATATTCTATAGGTAACTAAGTCATTCTGTACTTTTAATTACCTAGAGCCATGTTGTAGCATTTTGAAGAGGTTCGCCTTAGTTACATTAACCTTAACAATGCCTTTGTCTTTTAATGTGAGTTTTTATCCCAAAGCACCTTACAATGTATGAGTACAGCATTAGTATAGGTGGCCCTAGTGAGAGGTAAACCCATTGCGCCTCCATTCTCTGCCCATTTATCACCAAGACACCCAATGTACTTAACACTGGCAAGAAAAAATGTGGCGACATTTTACCCGAGTCAGACACTGGAGGAGGGAACCAGCTGCGGTGGCACTTTGTTTTAATGTCTACATGTGTGTTTGTAAGGAGCCTAGAGGGAAATTAACACCAGCCACTGTTCAGCTGATGGTACACATTTGTTAAAGAGATAGCTGATTCAACCAGCCCCTCTGGCAGGTATCCAGCCAACTTTTGAGATAAATCAAATAAATTGTTGGTTAGCTTTATGTCCTCTGGACTAGATATAACATTGTTCATATAATAAACCCCTGACATGTTTTCATCATGTTACCATCAGATTGTATGTTTCAGTGCAGTGTAATCGAGGGGTCCCCAGAAAGCGCTTCAAAAACCAGTTTGAAACAGACAGACAAGCAACTGCTAAGGAGAAGAGGAAAAGAAGGAAGGAGCAGGCTGCCCTTCAGACACCACCAGCCCAAGACTTTCCTTCTCCCAAGTGTGGAAAGGTTTGCACCACACATATTGGGCTCCAAAGACAACCTTGAGCCTGCAAAAGATAAGACAGACCATCCTCCCCTGATCCTTACAGGAGGAACAAGCCAACACATCCTGTATTACAGTGTCCTGTGTACTGTATCTATTGCATTATTGTTTCAGGATTCCTAATGAGCTTTTGTATTAGGGTCATTTCTCATCTACTGTAAGCATTTGATGTATTCAGATAAAGCAGACAATAAACAAACTGCACTTAAAAAAACCTTCAGGCTTGTATGTTTGGACCTGGTGTGACAAAAAAACATGCAGCGCTGCATGTGTTCGTGTCTCTTTAAATCACGACTAACGTCCTGTGTGAGACCGGAGTTTTTGTTGAATCCAGGTTATGTTCATTCAGGTTCACTGGTAACAGGTGCAGCTACGCACTCACACTGTCGTCTTCCCCACTGTAGTTTGAAGTTCATAGGTTGGTCTCAGGCTATTTCGACAGTTGTTACAGTGCAACTGAAGTCAGAGGAGAGCATTCATATCCCACCAATATTAAGTAAACTTAGCCTTGACATTGAACAAGCGGCTAACATTAATTAGCCTAGCGGATGTAACTACGTGCAAATCGACAAACATACGACTCATAGATGAAACTGAAGTAGCTCATTCAGACGTTCATATTACAAAATGCATAGCGAGTCAAGGTAGGGATGATAATTACATTACCTTCATTTCACATTGTTGGTGTTAGGTAAGTGTGTCACACTTTCTCCGCTCCCTGGATCTAAGGAGCTGTTGCTCGATGGTTCCGCAGAGAAAGCCTGGCTGAAGTGCGACCCCTGATGGAAGAAGATGAGTGTGACTAAAGTGACGGAGCTCTCCATGGTACTGAAATACAGTGAACAAGCTGCTGGCAAATATTTGTTATGACACACAGCAGGTGCTCCACATCCTTGCCATTAGCTACATGTTTGATACCTGTATTATAATATTACAGTGAGCTTTAGTTGACTACGTTCTTGTGTCTCTGTGGGTGAGGACAATATCTCTCCAGAACAGAAGAAACCTACTATAATCATAATTTGACCTTTATAGTGATGCAGCATCACACACCTACATGCTCCTGGTAACCTTTCATTCCACTGTTAACTGCTTGTCAGATGAAAAGGAGAAGCTTTGTCGAACACTAATTGACTGTCTGTGGTGGCAACTGATTTCCAAATGGCTGTACAGCAGTTGGCTTTTCTGATTACTCTGCTTTGTTGTACAGGAACAAGAATAACTTTAAAAGAATGTGAAAGTTCATATGAATGTGATGGCATTTCAGAGACTAGACAATAAACCCAACTCTGTCCAATGAGGACAATAATGGCAACAGGAATTGCACAAGCATGCATGCTGGATCTGCAAGCATAAACAAGAACCTGATGTCATTCACAATTGTATCTATTTTAGTATAGTAAATATTGTAATTGTCAGTGTTAAACCTAACAATGAACCATGGATTACAGAGGCCTTTTGCATTTGAAATCTTCATTAGAGCATTCCTTTTGCATGCCATTGTGTGCATGTGTGCCTGTTTTTGTGTGTGTGAGCAAACAAGCTGACAAATACCATCATATTTCTTGGCTAAAACTTGTTATTCATTTGGCTGCTCAGTCTGTACCAGTTAAAATCCACAACTGCCTTTCATACCAGCAGAAAAAAGTTTGTCTTAACCAATAATCTGTGAAGCAACACCAGAATTTGTGGAGATAGACAGAAAAACAACTCCTAGGTTACTTTTCTGGGGAACATTGTTGGTTTGGATTGTTTTGCAGATAATACTACAGAAACATTTAGTTAATCTAGTTAATTTTGACTTGTAAGAGTCAGATGCCAGTGACAACTAGGTGTAGATGGTGTGTTCTGATGGCATCACTGGTTAACATTTGTAACTTATGTACTTTTTTTAAAGTAAATTCTTCACAAAATTAAAGTTCTTATCATGGTGAGGATCCTGTGCTTTAATGATAATGATGAAAGTGTTGATGAAATGAATAATTTAGCAGTCATAAACTGTTTGGGCTGGCTGGAGAATACTGTAGATACTGGAAAAACAAAAAGTAAAAAAGGCAACTAGCCTATAAGCCTGAGTGAAATGTTAAAATTTGTCAGTAATATAACAATACCTTTGTGATTCCCCAGTGAATTACTAATTCTGTCCCCTGTCCTGAATGATTGCTTACTTAAGGGCTTGACCAAAGGTAGAGGGACAAAGGGTGTTCATTGCACTGCATCTTTCCCCTGGCACTGCTCTGCTGTAACTTAGCTGCCACCACCCATGGAAACAGCCAATTGGGAGTATGTGTGTGTGACTGCGTGTGCATGTAAATGTGGTCCTGCATATGTTTGTCTGCATATGCATGTGTGTGTGTGTGCATGCGTGTGTGTGCTCTATCTTTGCTATCCTCTTAACTCACTTGAGGTCTGCCCGCTCCCTCTAATCCCCAGAACACACACCCACACTCAACAGAAGAAGAAACATGGGGGAATAATTGAAGAACATACGGCCGTTAGAGAAAAACAGTGATTCTGCCACAGGGTGAAAACTGAAAGACTCAAATCTGTGAGGGGGAGTATAGCTGCGCTGTTCGGGCTCTTGTTAGGAGGATACAGCTGGAAACACATCATAGCGTAGCAGCTGCTTCATTCGATTATGAAAGGAATGTTGCTGTAAGAACATTCAAAAATCCACTGCTGGTGTTACTCCTTAATTAAATTTTTACATTCCCCAAATGTAGCCTAACTTACACAGGCAATTAATTGAGGGTAACAGCAAATACACTACCTTGAGGACACACATGAATTGCTGACTAATCTGAGTAGCCTACCTAAAAGGCCAGGAGGTGGACATCATCTGATCTAAGAAGTATTATGAGGAAATGCCAAGCAAATGTTAGTGTGAAGGTAATTTAGAACGATGGTAGTCAACCTGGGGGTTGTTGGTATGGAATCAGATTTGTATAAATTTAAGGGCTCACACGGGAACAGTAAAAGAAATCAGAATCACTGATTTTGAAGCTGTTTCATGTGTTGAACTTGAATCATGGGAGAATTAGTATTCCCTCTGTGCTCATGGCATTGTGATCCCATAGCTCCCATAATAAATCACTGATAAGGGATGTGGTAAACATCTGGTGTCCTACCTCATAGTAGCTTGGGATTTATCAAATTGAATGAGTTACTGTAGTTATATTCCTGTAGAGGAATGCAATCACTGGCAGCAAATTTTCGGTGGCAGCAACCCTTTCCTGGGGTGTCAAAAAACAATCCTTCCCCCTTTTATAACACCAAACTACCAACACATTCAATCTCATCTCAGAGAGATCCCCTCCCTATACATCCCCTCCTGCCCATCACTTGCTCCTTCCCTCTTACTACATCAATCTTGCCAAATAAAGGCAGATAATGCGCGAAAAGGATACTTTTATTCTTCAAAATAAAAGTACAATTTGTCAAGCTTGAAGTAAACGTGCTTCGTGGCACCCATAATAACTAAAACATGTATTTAAAAGTAATTACTCTTCATCGTGTATAAATGCAGCCTGGTTGTGGTACTCTTATTTGGTATTTGTCAACATTAAAAGTCGATTGTGTTTTATTTTGAAAAATTCTAACAGGAAATATAGTTTTATTGACGCTGCCTTAACGTCAGTCTCTGCCGATCTCTCTCTCTCTTTCCTGACAGTACTCAGTGACTGTCTCTCGACCTACCGACAACCCCTCGCGCGCCCGGCCAGCTGAGAAGATCCTCGCGCAAGGGAGGTGATCCAGGATTTGAGAAGAGCAGAGGACGGGAGGACATCACCCACAAAGCTCGACCACCATGCAGACACTCGGGGTCCCTTTTTTGCTGTTTTGGCTTATCTGGGGCCACTCCTGCGCTCTCGGCGGAAAAGGTAGGCACCTGCAAAAGAAAAAAATGGAAAAAAATCAACTTGGCTTCGAAATGTTTGTCTGCTATTTCGCGTCTGAGTTGCACAAGTTGGCAAGGAGAGCGTTAATGATCTGTCCGACAACTTCGTATCCCTTTATGTGTTTCTTTTGGCTGTTTTAAGCGAAGTTCTGCTGAATATTCAATACGTTAATTATCTGTTGTTTTTGGTGAGAACTATTTACTAACGGGTTCACGAAATGGCAGGCAGGGTAATTAACGGGACAGGTGTTCAGTTTGGTAGGAAGTTACATCTTTGTTTTAACGAAAGGTATTTTTAATGTGATAGGGCTGCAATGAAGGATCTTCCAATATGGATCAATCAGTTAATTGTTTAAGATATGACAGAAAATTGTGAAAGAAACCCATTTCATACTCGATTCATATATTACATAACACAATGAAAAGCAGCAAATCGCTACAAATGAGAAACTGAAACGAAGACATTTTTGATCTTTTAACTTGAAAAATGACTAAAACGATTAATCGATTATCATGTGCAATTGGTTAATTGACTAATCATTTCAGCTCTTATGATAGACATAACTCACCACAGTTTAACTTGACTAACATGCTAGGAATTCACACAGGAGACGAGTATTTATGTCAGCCTTAAAGGGGTTACTGGGAAACTCTTCTCCACATAATGTTATGGCTCAGAGGAAACCTACATGCCCCAGTTGCTTTTGAAATGATTAGCACCATAAACACGACATTTATTGAGGGTATCAGCGGTTATGTTGCTGGTCATGATTGGCTGCTTGGCCAGTGATCTGAAGATGATTTCTGTCTATGATAATCGATTAGTGCGCGGGGAGGGCAGCCATGGTCAGGGTGTTGTATTCAATCATATCCTCACCCTGTGATACCCTTACATCTCCCTCTCTTTTTCTCTCTCTCTGTCTCTCTCTCTCTCACACTCACACACACGCGCACTCAGCACAGACTGGTGTTGCCTGTGAAGGGCAGCTGTGGTTTACAGTGGTATTAATTGGGTCTCTGGAGTCAGAGTGCTGGGCTGACTGGCTGTCTGTGCTCAACCAAACATTATCATTATTTTTCCTGTTTTTAAAAGACCTCCATATGGCCAAGAGCCAGAAGCAAGGCTAACTAGGTTTAGATTAACTCTTATTTTCCATAGAGACTTCAATGACTCATTCAATTTTCAAAGGTGAATGTGATGTGTGGACTCTGTTTTGTTTGTTTGTTTTTATATATATATATATATATATATATATATATATATATATATATATATATTTGTCCACGATTGTTATTGGCTATGTAATGGTTGAATTGGCTTCAACTCAGTAAAAAGTCAATGTCATGTGCTAAGATTTGAGAAGACCTGGTATTGTTATGTAAAGCCATTTTCTTTTAATGCTTGAAAAGGAATAGATCAAGGCCTCAGTGCTGGGTGGATGTTGCCTTGCTGCATTAGAGAGACGCAGAGAGGGAGTTATTTGTGTGTGTAGATCTTGTATTTACAAGCTCTACAAGCACAGCAGAATACTGTATATACATGAGACAAAGGCTTGCTGATGAATACCTTTACATAAGAAGTCGGGACATAGACCAGAGCAGATGAATGCCAAAGAACACAGACTGAGAGGATTTGAGGGGCGCTGAAAAAGAAAGAACAAGAGAAAAAAAAATCGAAAACAAGATCAGATTTATGGGTGTCTTTTCAACAGAGCCGTCTAGCTGCATTATCCTCGCCGGAACATAAATCGTGAAAGCGATGTGGAACGCAGAGGCATAACTCAGGTTTTCCTCTTCTGTGCAATGACTGGTGAAACAATGTCTGGCAGGAACTGCTCTGCCCGTCCTGACGTTGTTTTCCTCTTTACCGTCATTCATGCCCTTTCTATTCTTTTTTCTCTATCTTCTCACTTGTGTTTCCCCCCTCTTGCTCTCTTTCTCTTCCTCCCTTGACTCTGCATCACTCTTTGCTGCTCCGCTCCGTTGAGCTGATGGCATTCAGAGGGCAAATGTCACAGAGAGAGAGAGAAGTGTTTCGTCATTCTCCTTCTCACTTCTTTTTCCAAGCTTGAACAGCCATCAGTCTGATTTCCAGAGCTGCTGCGTGCTCTCTCTCCATAGCCATGGATTCAATTCTAAAGTTTTATGGTCTTAAGTGAGATGTATTAATGGTGAGGCAGTCTTCTTTCTGTCTTACTTTGCCTTCTCTCATCTGGAGAGTGTCACCTTCTCACTGTATCATGGGTACCTCTATTACTGACCCCCTCCTCAGTTCCATTTATGTTCCCTCCCTCCTGTAGCCTGCCCAGATTTGCTCTGTCTCCTACCCCAGCTCCAGCTTTCCTTCACCTCTCCACCTCTGCCCCTCTCTCTTCTTTCAGTTTTTGTTTCCTAATGGCTTGCAAAGAAGAAGACATTGTGATAGATATAGAGATATAAGATATATGTGTGCAAAAACTCATGTGTGCATGTGTTGTGATGGTAGGCCATTGTATTGAAAAAAGACTTTGTACTGGCATTTATATGTGTGTGGGGGAATGTCAGGTCTGTGTGCTGCTGGAAGTATATGCAAATGAAAGCAGATATGCAAATGAACGTCCTAATTTGGATGTTAATTACTCAGCACGGCTAATTATAATATGTCTGATGAGGCGTAAGGTGAAGGAGAGGAGTGAAATGGAAGGGCTGCCATACCATGATGTATGTATGGTGATGAGAGAATGAGTGTTTGTTGTGTGTATGAGGGGGGGGGAGAGAGAGAGAGAGAGAGAGAGAGAGAGAGAGAGGTGTTTGTGTTTAGGGCTGTGTCTGCGCCACTATAACACCAGCTGGTCCAATGGCCCCGGTGGGGCTTTCTGGTCAGCACTGCTCAATATGTGGTGGATAAACATTGCATGCAGCGCTGACTTCTGAGAGACACTCACTCTCTTCCCCCTGTTCTCTGACTAATGCATGCACACACACACACAGTCACACACTTGGACACTACACTTTAAAACTATCTGAGTAAACCCTTTTTTATTTCTTAATGAAGACACGCACATATTTTCCCCTTGACGCTTTGCCAGGTGGCCAAATGTGGGTAAATGAGTGACATGGTGCTGTAGAGGAGACAGAAGGAGTGAGAGAAGAGAAACGGTAATGGGAGAGGAAAGAGGCAAAAAAGGAGACACCTTCCTTTTTTAAACCTTCTATAATGTGCATGTGGATTCTCTATAATAATTTCATCATCATTTTTTTTCATTATTTCCTCTGTGTATGCTTTAGGAACATTAATGTATGAGACACCGAGAGACTTAGAGACACAGAGAAAGGGACAGGAAGAATTGAATAGAGACCACCTTTCCCAAACCATGACCCTACAACAGCGGTCCCCAAACTTTTTTCAGTGGGGGACACATCAACTTTCCTTTCTGAAATGGGGGGCCGAGGTTAGTCTATAACAGGAAATGATATGGGCCAGGGTGACAACCAGTATTATTGTGGAGATTACAATGATAAATGTTGAAGCTGCCCTTCGTTTGGCTTTGGCACCACCTGTTGATTTGCAAAAAAAAGTAATAAAAAGACTTCACATGTGTTTATTTGAAGTACCACAGATACTCCATTTATTTTATAGAAAATAACAACACAAACTGATGGTAATGCCGGGGGGGGCGCCGGTGGGCCGCCGGGCCGCTAGCTCTGCTTGCTGGGCGCAATGGCTGTGCTGGGGGGGGGGGGGCGCCGGGCCGTCGGGCGGCTAGCTCTGCTTGCTGGGCGCAATGGCTGTGCCGGGGGGGAGGGCGCCGGCGGGCCGCCAGGCGGCTAGCTCTGCTTGCTGGGCGCAATGCTGTCGGGGGGGGGGGCGCCGGCGGGCCGGCGGCCACCAGGGTCATCTCTCATATGCTGAGTGCACACCATTAAGACTAGTGTGAATGTCACAACGGAAAAGTTTGTCCAAAGTCCACAAGTTTGGTGTCTACGGACTCGGCTCGTCACGGCTGAGTAAACATATGTCAGCCCCCAGCCTTCTGAGTCGCTCCTCCCGAAGGGCCGCCATGGGCGGTCTCTCATATGCTCCGGGGGACACGGTTAAATTCTGTGTTTAATATCCAAATAATAATTTTTGAAAAGTCCACAAATTTGGTGTCTACGGACTCGGCTCGTCAGCAGAAATATATGTCAGCCCAGGCTTCTAAGTCACTCCCTTCGAGAGATGCCTCGTTAAACGTCTCCGAGGCTTGGATGAAAACTCAAAAGTCCACAAATTGGGTGTCTAGGACTCGGCTCGTCACGTCTGAGTAACATATGTCAGCCCCAGCCTTCTGAGTCGCTCCCTTCGAAGGCCGCCATGGGTATCTCTCATATGCTGAGGTGCACACCAGCGGTCCCCAAACTTTTTTCAGTGGGGGCCACATCAACTTTCCTTTCTGAAATGGGGGGCCGAGGTTAGTCTATAACAGGAAATGATATGGGCCAGGGTGACAACCAGTATTATTGTGGAGATTACAATGATAATTTGTTGTAGCTGCCCTTCGTTTGGCTTTGGCACCACCTGTTGATTTGCAAAAAAAAGTAATAAAAAGTCTTCACATGTGTTTATTTGAAGTACCACAGATACTCCATTTATTTTATAGAAAATAACAACACAAACTGATGGTAATGTTCAAGTAAGAATGAGGTGATGTGATTTTGTAACAGGTACAGTTGAGTTAACAAACGGTAAGTGTTCTGTCTTTACAGGTAGTGAAATAATATTAATACAGAATAGTGGTCAGAATCAGGTAGAACATGTTGCCTATAAAAAGAGCATTACTATAATGACATTTTTTAATATCTATTGCTATTGAAATCAGTAGGCTTACCATATCAGTGTGAGCTGTGGGCTTGCTTCTGACTGGTGAGGAGATCGATGTCAGGTTCCATTCCAGTTACAGCCAGTCTCAGAGACTGATGCAGGTGTTGATCTGTGAGACTTGATCTCGTCGGATTTTTTATCAG